CACACACACACACACACACACACACACACACACACACACACACACACACACACACGAAGGGCACCGGGGAGCATCTCTTTAGGAATCAGCAATTAAAAAATGACCCCTGTAAGATAAGTGTGCTGGCTGCAGAATCCAGATGCTGTCACACCAGACCAAATTTAGAAAGGGCTAACTTGGGGAAATAGAGAAAGCAGATCACAAATGTAAAAGATAGAAACACTATAAAACTGCAGAAACTGCCTGCATTCCAACAATAAATACCTTTTATAACAAAAATGAGGCTTACAGATATAGGCTGCCATGTTTTGGAGGGAATTGTTGCTGAGGGGTTGGGGAGGAAACAGACATTTTTGCACACATGCTGAATTCTAGTGTGGTTTTTTGTGTGTGTATTTCAATAATGTCGATAATAAACTGGACTGGATCAGGTGAACGATGGAAAGGATAATGAATACAAAAAAACCCCTCTCTTCCTTCTGTATTGATGCCAGGATCAGACCATAAACCAAGCTACAGAGTCGCTAATGATCTAAGATTTTGTTAGATTAAAAAAATAATTGAATAATGCAGAATGTACAAACTTACTACAAATTTTTAGCTCAGCCCTTTCCATCTATAGTGCTGAACAAAAGGCTAAGGGCATTATTTCCCTGAAATTCACCAATGAAGGAACAAGCCCCACATCTGGACAAAATGTTGGAAGCCTGAAAAAAACTTTCCCAACCAAATACAGCCTCATTAGCAAATGTGTAGAGCTCCCCTCCCGCGCGCCCCCCCCCCCCCTCCCCGCGCGACAACAGGCACCCATCAAGCACCCATCAGCCAGGACCCCTTTCACACATCCCTGGCAACATGTGCCTGCCGTAATCAGGACCACAAAACATCTGTGGGAACTTGGCTTCAGACTTTTCCCCATGGCCTGTCCTAGGCCGAGGGCTGAGTCATTGTGTCACAGGAAATCGCCACCCAAATATTGTCTCGGTGGCACAAAAGGGATTTGGGAAACTGGCCTGGATTACATTCTGTACTCAGGGAAAGGGAAACGTTTTTCCCTGTTCCAAGTTATGACTGGCTGTTCCGCAAGTTGCACATATTTTGTTCGGAGTTGGGATGAGGAGAAACAGAGCATCCATAGAGATATTTGGTGAAAGGAGGCATGAGTAGTTGCTAGTTGGGGGGAGAAAAAATCACAAAATCGAGGAACAAATCATAAGACACTGTTCAAGAAAGTATAAGAAAAGCAGTTTGGTCTGCTGGCTAAGGCACCAGGCTACGAAGCAGGAGACTGTAAGTTCTAGTCCCGCTTTGAGTATGAAAGCCAGCTGAGGGACTTTGGGCCTGCCACTCTCTCAGCCCAACCCACCTCACAGGGTTGTTGTGATGAGGAAAATAAGGAGGAGCAAGGTATATTGGATACGTTCACTGCCTTCAGTTATTTGCAAAAATAATAAAGGTGGGATTCAAACAAACAAAACAAAAAGAAGAGAATACCAGTAGCCATTTTGCTGTTATGACCATGTATTAAGCAAAGAAAAGCAAATTACAAGTAGTCCTCAACTTACAAACACAATACTAGGAGCAGAATTTCCAGTACTAAACAAGACATTGAGTCAGGTCCAATTTTAAGATCTTTTTTTTGCTATTGTTACGCAAATCACAGTTTTTGTTAAGTGAATCAACACACTTGTTAAACGAATCTGGCTGGGAAAGTTGCAAATGCTGATCACACGATGCCCCCCCCAAAAGGACAGCGCAACCATTGTAAATACACCTGGCTGACAGGTGCTTGAATCTTGATGCTGCCACCACCTGGACGCTGCAGCAGTTATTCCTGCTTGTCGGTCACTTTTTTCGGTGCCATTGTAACTTTGTATGGCTGCTAAACAAATGGTTTTAAGTCAACAACTACCTGTAACAAAACTGGAACGTTGCAAACCTGCCATTAAGGAGGTCACCATTCACACAACCTCCTCCTTTCTTTTTGCAACTGTGAAGTCCTGCTAGGACTGCCTGGGGGTGGGGGCAGATTTGAGGCCGGGAGTTTGAGCTGGTTATTTTTGGAGCTCAGCAATTTCTGCCACCTCACTGCACAAGGCCAGAGCTAGAATGCTGGATGTCAACATGAAATAAATAGGTTCCAGTTTAATCAAGGTCTCCTGGTGAACTTGAAAAACTTCCATTCCCAGTCTAAGTGGCCTTTCAGCGCTGCTACCATCGAAAGGACCAACCGCCACAACGAAAAAGCAGGTGACTGCTATTTTGGAAGCTTGCACGCAAAGGAGTTTTTCTGCACAGCAGGGGTGTCCAACCGTGGCAACTTTTAAGATTTGTGGACTTCAACTTCCACAATCCCCCAGCCAGTGCATGGGGTCCACGAGTCTTAGAAGTTGCCATGCCTGGACATCTCTGCTCTACAGGGATATATAATCCTTGTAACGCTAGCTTTCAACGCATTTCATCGCTTGCTTTTCCTAGTCAATTTTTACAGACAATAAACTTATTTGGAGCTCACATTAAACTCTTCTGTGCTTCTGATAAAACAGGTACAACAATTGACTTTAGACTGCCCCGCATCTTCTGAACACTGAACGACCCCTAGTGGCAGCCACCTAGTTAACAAGAAAATTTCTTTTAGATAATAAAGCATCCTACCTTCACACCATTTTCATCCACTGAATTACGACCTGTGGGAAAGAGAGGGCGAGTGAGTGACTGAAAGAATGGGAAATGTTTGTCAACAATGAGAAATAGGGAGCCATTTAATAGCCTGGGGAGACGTGCATATGAATCTTGAGGACCTCATCTCATCACACTTCCTACCAACAATGGAACTAGGTTTAGGATGGAGAAATAAAACTAAACACAATTTTTCCCATCAATCAATCTTCCGGGCTGACCAAAGAATCACTAATGCCAACAAAGAGGACATAGCCAGTAACCATTTTGGCAATAAACTATTCAACCCTTCACCTTCAGAGCACTGTCATGTATAGTTTGATTTCAAACAGAAACCCCCAGCAACACAAACACTGTACCTGGAAGATATTATCCAGAGACCTGGCCCCAGGGTACAACTGCAACAATTCAGATTGATCATAAACCAGAGAGGGAGTTTCGATATGATGCACTGACTGGTGCTGATTTTAACTTGGGCGTCCCGTGAATTCAACAGGCCGAAAGGTGACTTACCAAAGATGTAGATAATTGCTACGCCATTGCCAGCTCCGAGAAGGCCTACTATCTGCAGCAGTCTCTTTGTATAGGCAGGGTTCTGCTTTTTTGTCTTCTCTTGTTGTTCATCGGAGCCTTTCCCATCTTCTTCTCCTGTTGACTGGAGAAAGAGAGAGAGAAAAGCCTGACTGGAGGTAGGGCACAATTGCAGAAACCATATGCTGGTAGTCCTCCACTTATGACCATAATTGAACCCAACATTTCCAGTGGTGAGGCAGTTAAGTGATTTTTGCCTTAGTTTACACTCTTGTCAACCTTAAGTGAATCCCCACAGCTGTTTAGTAACACAGTTGATAAGTGAATCTGGCTCTCCAATTAACTTTGCTTGTCAGAAGTCACCAAAGGTGGCTTCTTGATGACTCAGGGACACTGCGACCATCGTAAATATGAGTCAGTTCATTAGTGACTGGATTTTGATCACGTGACCATGAGGATGCGGCAAGGGTCGCAAGTGGGAAAATGGCCACGAATCAGGTTTTCCCCCCACTTCCACTGTGACTTTGGATGGTCAGTAAACGAATGGTCGTAAGTAGAGGACATTTTTGGATGACAGGACGCCCACCTCAGGACTTCCACCCTGATGCCCGCTGAGGGCCCGTCTCTGAGCTCGCCCTGAAAGGCTGCTGGGCGTCTGGGCTGCCGCTTCTGGCCTGGCTTACACTCCGAGCTTCCAGGAGGCGAGGCCCGGGACCCCAACCCCTGGAGCCCGACCCTTGCGGAGGCCTCCGTCATAGCCGCCCAACCGCCACGGGAGGGTGGCGGGGGCCCCCGACGGCCTGGCCTGGCCGGCCCTCACCTTCTGCTGCTGCTGCTGCTGCTGCTGCTGCTGGGCGACCTCCCTCAGGACGGCTCCGGTCAGCCCCGGCCCCGCCGCCTTCGCCTGAGGAGGGACCCCCGGAGGAGCCCCCGAGCTCCACGTCCGCCCCGACAGCGCCCAGGCGCCGCCCCGCTTCCAGCGCCGGCACCCGCCGCCGCCCCGCAACGCCCGCAGCCCGCCGGTCAGAGCCGCCTCAGACAGAGCACGAGCGGCAGCCACCACCGCGGCCATCTTTGCTCGGGGACGCCCCTCGCGCCTGCGCCGGCCCTGGCCCAATCAGGAGCGAGGGGGCGGGGGGGGGCGTCGAGCGCGTGCCGCGGCTGGGGGGAAAAGCGGGGGCCCCCCATCCAAAAAGCCAAAGGCCGCCCTCTCCCCCCCCCCCCCCCGCCGTACCCGGGCTGCCCGCCCTTCGATCGCTTCGTCCAATAACAGAAGCGGGATTTGTCACGGTACCCAATCCCCCAGCCAGCTCTACGCCTCCCAGGTTTCTCCGACCAATCGTGGCTCAAAGGGGGCGTGAGACCAAAGCTTTTTATTAAAATAAACGGCCGCAGTTCCCATTGGCTAGAAAGCGAAGAGGGCGGAACGTTCTCTTCCCTACCGGTCTTGCCGGAAAGCGACAAGGTTAGAGCCGAAGGGACAGCCAGGCACGTGCGAAGAGCAAGACACGTGCCTTAAAAAAGGAAAACGCCCCCCCACCCCCCCTTTACACATTATACAACCAAGGCATCCAGTTAGCTTTGATAGTATCAAAATAATATTAATTTTAATTAAATTAAAATTAAATAGTTTTATCTTATTGCAGAGGTCTCCAAACCTGGCAACTTTAAGACTTGTGGAGTTCAACTCCCAGAATTTGGAGCTGAAGTCCACAAGACTTAAAAGTTGCCCAGTGCCTGGCTTTGTTTGTAAGCTGGCCAGAATTCCCCCTGTTGAGATGGGAAGCATAACATAGTCCTTGACTTCACTTGGCAACAGCACTGAAAAGAGTGACTTGGGGCCATTTTTCACACTTATGACTGTTGCAGCATCCCTGTAGCTACACGAACAAAACTCTGTTGGAAACTGACTCATATTTATGACAGTTGCAGTGTCCCGGGGATCACGTCATAACCCTTTGGAGACCTTCTGACAATGGGGAATGCACTTAATATCCATGTTGCCAACTTGACAACGGAAGTGATTCACTTAATACACGTGGAAGTCGTAAAATGGGGCAAAACTCAACTTGACGAATGGCAACATAAAACTTGGCCTAAATTGCGGTTTTAGCTGAGAATTGCCCGTATAAGTAAGTAATGTAGGTAGAGAGACAGACAAATCCAAGGTTTCTGTAGGGAGGCATTCACAATGTAAAATCTTTTATGAGATGATTTTATTAAAACGAGCTACAGGTTGGATGTTTCGGTGCTGAAGAGGCCATAAAGTGCTACGGAAGAGCGGGGAATGGAGGGCACGGCGCTCCACTGGCGGCAGCTCTTCTGCATGACACAATTGCTAGATGGTCCCTCACCCGCAGCGCTGGGAAGAAGAAGCGGCAGGAAGAAACTTGTGCGCGCACCCCCCCAAAAATATAAACTTTCCTCAGGAGCAAATCTGTACAAAGCCTTGGCAGTGCAGGCAGGAGGCAACCGGCTAAGTGAAACAAAGAAGGAAGAAGAAAACGTAACCAAGCCCCCCCCCCCCCCTTATCACACCCCACTCGTGTTCTCCGCCCTGCCTTTAAGCTTCTACGAGTTTGCCCAGGAAACGCAAGTTGAAGATTAGGATCTTCTCTTCTGGGTTCATGCGGATGATGCCGTCTTCCCTGTCAATGCTCAGCAGCATCCCCGTCGCTTCGCGGTGTTCTCCCAAGAGGACTTTGACCTGCAAGGCAGGAGAAAACTGGCTAGAAAGTGAGCCTTTTGCTCAAAGGCAGGCCCAGCGAGGAGCAGCCACAGGTAGATTAGAGAGAGAGAGAGAGAGAGACAGACGGAAAGTGGGACGGATGGGTGGTAGATTAGATTAAATTAGACAGATAAGATAGATAGATAGATAGATAGATAGATAGATAGATAGATAGATAGATAGATATTGTAGATACAGACACAGACAGAGTGGATGGATAGATGGATGATAGATTAGATAGTTGATAAGACAGATAAATAAAGTTGAATAGATATTAGATTAGATCAGGGGTTCCCAACTGGAGGTTCGAGGTGATATTCTATAGTGCGAAAAATTATAGTGTATATGTATAATTATATATAATTATTTTAAGGAATGAAAGAATATATCAGAAGCGTTCTAGGGGTGAGGGATATAGAAAAGGTTGGGAGCCCCTGGGATGGATGGATGGATGGATGAACAGATAGGTAGGTAGGTAGGTAGGTAGGTAGATACCGGTAGATAGATAAGAGTTGGATGGATGGATGGTGATTAGATAGATGGATAGGCAGACAGAGAAGGCTTTGACCTACCTTATCATTCTTGGCTGGTGTCACAGGTTCCAGGTGTTCGCTGGAAATGCTGACTACCTTTTCACATTTCTTAACGTAGACCGAACACATCCCACCCTAGCAGGGCAGACAAAGGAGGGAAGAATGGGGGGGGAGGGGGAGAGAAGGAGAGAAAACCACTCAGGTGACAAGCTGGAAGCGTCAACCCCAGGAGAGCTCACCTAACTCAGGTGACAAGAGAACCGTCTCTCCTCAGCTCTGAGGGAGCCAGTCTCTCTCCTTGGTAGCCACAAAGATGGAGAAGAAGTAGGAGGAACCCTACGAGGGGGAGTTGCTAGGATGCAGCCAGCCTTTCTTGGGATCTTCCTGGGCTGCCATCACACTGTTCCTACCTCTTACAGGTACTCCTTGACTTACAACCATTCGTTTAGTGGCCGTTCAAAGTTGTAACATCACTCCCCAAAAAGGGACTTATGATGGTTTTTCAGACTTATGACCTTTGCAAAGGCCCCTGGTCACATGATCAAAAGCAGGATGTTTGGTCACTGGCATGTATGTATGCAGGTCCTGAGATCGCATGATCCCCTTTCGCGACCTTCCGACAAAGCCAGGTCACAATGAGGAAGCCGGATTCACTTCACAACCATTTCACGACAGTGATTCACGTAACCACTGGGGCAAGACCGGTCATAAAACGGGGCAAAAATTCAACCTTGCTGGCTCACTCAGCCTGGAAATGTTGGGCTCAGGGGGTGGGGGTGGGGGGAGGGGGGGCGGTAGTGGAATTGACCTCCCTCAAGACGTCCAAGGTGCCTTCTAGCTCTCTTCTGACTGCCTTATATATTTACCTCAAACGGTCTAGGGCAGTGGTGGCACAGGTGGAATGCAGAGCCATTTGTGTGGGCATGTGAGCCTCAGCCACACTTACCTGCCCTGTGCATGCGGGCGCCTCCCAGCTGATTTTAATTTTCGCCCTCCCGGAGGCTCGAGGGAAGCCTCTGCGGCCTCGGGAGGCTGAAAAACAGGCCTTCCAGAAATAATGGAAGTGCCCAAACGGGCCCGTTTTTCAGCCTCCAAAGGCTGCAGAGGCTTCCCTCGAGCCCCTGGGTGAAAACGGCCTCCCCCAGGCTCCAGAGGCTCAAAACGGGCACTTCCAGTATTTCCGGAAGGCCCGTTTTTCGCCCTCCCGAGGCTGCAGAGGCTTCCCTCGAGCCTCCGGGAAGGCGAAAATGGCCTCAAATGGGCTGAAAATCAGCTGGGAGGCGCGCGCATGCGCAGTGCAGGCAAGAGGGCAGGGCAGAGGTATTGCACGCGCATGCGCAGGGAGCGGTGTGCATTGCATTGTGGGTGCCGCAGCAAGGTTCGCCATCCCTGGTCTAGGATCTCCTGCCTGAGCCAGGGGTTGGACTAGAAGACCTCCAAGGCCCCTTCTAGCTCTATTCTGATTTTAAATCAGAAGTCACCAGACCCAAAGCCAGGAGCCGCCGCTAGGTTTTCCGCTTTAGATTCTCGGCCTTTAACTCTCTCTGCCCAACCCCTTGTTCTACTTCCTGGTCACCCCATGCAAACAGCCACCTCGGTCCAGCCACTTACGTTCACGCTACGGATGACTCCGGTCTTCCCCACCACAAGGCTGTCCAGATACGTGTCATGCACTTTGACCTCGATATCGGTGGTGACCCAATCGCTGGAGCTCTGCTCAATCCCAGAGCCTGGGGTGTGAGGGTTGTAATCTCCTGGGGATGGAGCCCCTGGGGTCATAGGGCTGTAGGTCACTGGGCTGGGAGTGGGGCTAACCTGGAGGGAGGGAGAGAGGGAGAGAGACTGAGACTCCATGAGAAAAACCCAGGCTGGTTCTAGTCCAAACTTGGCCAACTTTAAGACTTGTGGACTTCAACTCCCAGAATTCCCCAGCCACTTTATGTCTTTGGAGAAGCAACAAAAGATGCCTTTCTAAAGGGTGCCTCGTCTGTTTCTCTTTCTAATTTAAAAGAGAAGATTCAGGTCCTTTATGGAGGAAAATAATGACAATATTAAAAATTAAAGTTTTTTTTAGTTTAGTTTACTTTTATTGTCATTGCACCTCGTACATCGAACTCAAACACCACCTTCAGGGCACATCCTGACCATGAAAATAAACACAAACACACCTCCTTCACATTCTATGCAATTAAATCGAAAACTCTCAACACCGCACCAACACTGCACTCAGTACAGCAGAATTCAAGAGAGTTACTGCCCTGGGATAGAAGCTGTTTTTCAGCCTCTTTGTCCTTGTTTTTATTATTGTCCTGTACCGGCTGCCAGGTGGTAATAGTTCAAAAAAAAAAAGAGGGGGGGTTCCCAGGATGAGATGGATCTTTGAGGATGTTTTGAACTTTCTTAAGGCAGCGGGAGCTATAAAGCTCTTCCAAAGAGGGGAGAGGACAACCCAGGATCCTCTGCGCAATGAGGTTCACCCTCTGGAGTGCCGTCCTATCTGGCCCGGTGCAATTGGCAAACCATAAAGTAAGTTTTAAAAATGTAGATGAGCCCCCGGGCTCCCGAGGCGAGGCTGCGGAGCTGTTTGGAAGACTCAGAGGGAGGGAGGGAAGTGCCATTGGTCGGCTTTTTCAAGCATACCTGGTAAGACACTGGTGAAGGAGTCGGGTGGTAGCTGGCAGGGGAGTGGGTGTTCTGGTAGCCCACAGGACTCGGTGCCACTTGGTGGAAACTTTGAGGGCTGGGACTCGGTTGGTAGGACCCCTGAGGAGACGGGACGGCGTACGGAGGGAACTGGTCTGTGTTATACCT